CTCCTTAAGAACACACTAACTGTTACATAATCATTTCCTCTTTTAAACTGCAGGTGTTGGGTGGGTATTGTGTCTCACCAATGAGAAAAGTGACTACGACAGCAGTATAAGGAAAACACAGAAAGTAAACAAACCAAGGTATTGCCTACTCAAATGCACTGCTAAGACACCATTCTTGACAAATTTCCATTAGCAATTACCTTCCAGACATTTACTGGCTTCCTATTAAATACCAAGATGGGTTAGAGAGATAGCAACCATAGCCACTTCCTTGTCTTCAAGCATTTGAATGTGGAAGGGTTTTTAGTCCACAAGACTTAGGGACCCATATACCCTGTAGACACTGGGCCAGGATGAGAACAATCAGTAGCCAAATGAGAAAAGTACTGGGTATTGTTGCGGCCAAGCTTACATTCTTCCTAATTCCTGGGAGGGTGGAAGTGTATCTCAGTGGTACAAGGGGTACTTGGCCACATGGACGACCTTGAGCTTAATCCCCACCACCAAAAAACAAAATAAAACAACAAACAGAAAAGGTAAAACCAGGTGTGGGTACTTCTTCTAATACCTGGAATACCCTGCATGATCTGATGTCAAATCCTACTCCTTTGCAGAAGCTAAATATGACTCTAAAACAGTAATAGAAGAGAAAGACACAGGATTCCCCTCCTTAATGTTGTTTTATTTTCCCAGTCTTGCTTATCAAACTTTTCTTTCATCTTAAAACATTACAGTGTCAAGAATGTTACCTATGTTGATTACATTTCCTTAAACAGCTCTCCCTTCTCTCTTAGTAATTCTATCACAAACTCTCACAGACTGCTCTTCATACACATCCTTCCTAGAAAGCTCTGTTGGGTTCTCCAGACCCACAGTCATCTCCTCCATAGTATCACTCCTTTTCTCAATGCTTCTGATGCAAGCTAGGTCTGATATTGTTCTCTAATTACTTTTAGGGTTGATAATTATTCTTCCAATGGAACTTTAACCTCATTTAGATGATGTCACAAGCTGATGCATTTTTTGGAGCATCTATAATACATTCCTTGGTGTGCACAGAACAAACAATATGCCAACATTCTCTTTTCCTTGTAATTTAAGCCTCCTTGAAGTTCTCGTTGTGATAGCAGATGGTGATTTCCTAGAATGTAACAAATCAGTCTTCTCTGTATGTCATTAAAATGGTCTGAATAAAGTGCCAACCCAGGGGCACCTATAGCTGACTCCCCTGCCCAGTTTACTGGAAAGCTATAAGTGGTGCAGGCTTCTTACTTCCCCATAATTTGGCTCTTATATTAGGAGTTTGACTGAAGGCATGTCACATGGCACGGGGGTGAGCACAGCCCCTCTCCCCATGGCTGCAGCAGAGACCTAAGTCCCGGTCTGTGAAGCTGCAGGGCCCTGATTGAGATATCATCACAGCCGAGGACAGTGTGGCTCCAACTACATTCCTTTCCCTGAATTATGGCCTTCCCCGCTGATCTGGTGGGTTACCAGTTAATTACAACCTAGTTTTGGTCTCCCTTTGTTCCTTCTGCAGGACTCTTTGCCCCTTTTTTATGAGCCTTGCCTTTGATAACTGCTATTGCCAGATGCCTCACACACCATTGCCACATGTTTCACATGCACCCTGCCATATTTCCTCCCACACTTGTCTAATCAATACTAGAGGTCTTGGGTGCCAGTGTCTTTGCTGCCAGCTCAGCTTGGACCTGCCCAGATCCCTATATTTTGTTGAAGTCTTGTTTCTGTGTCTTTCTTCCGCCTTGCATAGTATCACCTAAGCGGTACATCGGGGCTCAAGGCCAGGGATCCTGATAGTCCCCAAAGCCTTTTGTATCGTTGCAATCTTAAATTTTAAATGCAGCCATGATAGAATGGTAATCTACCTGCCTTCTTAGTAATGGTCCTTTTGATGACCTGGGGTTGGACCGGATCAGTGACAGCCAAGGTCACTTCTTGGTCTGCCAAGAAGAAGGCAGTTGTAACTTAATATGTTGTCATGTTCCACAACCAAATCTTTACAAAGAAAACTGAAAAGTGTAGATTCTGCAAGGGTGGCAATCTCCGTGAGTGGAAGAGGGACTAAGAAACCTCAGGAAGAGAATATTTTCCCTCAAGAAAAAGTAGGGTTGTGTTGGAGCTTTTTTCCTTGGAGATGGTGTCCCAACCCATAGTTGCTTTTAAAACATTGTTGGATTTACTTTGTTGTCACAATGCTCAGTGGTCAGAATGTTGACAGAGTGCTAAACTATTGGGAAACATATATAGACACACCCAACAAAGAAGGTCTAGGTCCAAGTACATAGTGCTCCTATTCAGAAATACTGCAGTCTGGTGTCGTGGAAAGGAGCTCCAAAATCTGAACCAAGGCAGCACTTCACATGCTCCGGCCCTGCATCTGTTTGGCTGATCCTAATGTAACAGCATTTGGATTCATGTTTATTATTCTGGTATTCCAGGGGCATACATGGACCTCCCCGAAGTCTTGTATTGAACTTTGAATATCCCCTCAAGGCCCATGTGTCAAGGGCTTGGCCTCAGCCTTTGGGAGGTAGTGGAAACATTAGGAGGTGAGGCCTACTGGAAGGAAGTCACATCATGGGGGGTTGTCCATAAAGAGGGTAAGGGTTCTCTGGCCACTTCCCGCCTTCCTAGCTGTGAGGAAGTAAGCAGTTTTCTTCAGCCATGAGGTGAAGTATCCACCACTATATATTCCTTCCAAAATGACTACGTCACCTCAGGCCCAGAAGCAACAGAGCCAAACAACCAGGGACTGGGATGTCTGAAATCATGACCCAAAATAAACCTCTCCTCTATAAATTGTTCATCTCTGATATTTCATCATGGCGATGGAAAGCTAACATAGTTATTGTTCTTTTACTAGTGAAAATGTTTTAAATGTCCCTCACCCCTAGGAGAGATCATCCTACAGCCAAGGTAACAAGTTGCCGACACAACTGATTTTGACTTAATTAATCCATAAAAGACAGTTTTGTAATTACAGAACTTCCAGCACTGGTGATAAACACACTTAACTAATCAACAACTGAGTTGTACGTGCATGATTCTGGGAGCCAACCCAGCAGTGCTAGCCTCTTGCTATGACAGTGAGCCAACTGCTGATGGACTGCTTTACAGAACACACTGCTAGGTGCTAGGTGCCCACACACCAGAACAACCTGCATGGAAACAACCAGGATTCTTTAGCTGACATCAACCTACTCTGCCAGTCCCCACTCTCCCTGCTTCCACAAAAGAGTCACTGAGATCAATTCTATGCTCTGTGTAGAGTGACGGCTCTGAACAACACATCTCTTCTTTATACAACTAATCAATTTATTCAGCTTTGTTTTTTGTTTATTTGTTAGAAACTGGACTTCCCCAAATTCATATCTTGAAGTCCTAACCCCCAGGTGTATGCATGAAGATACCTGCTCATAGACATGAAAGAGACAATTCAAAGGACACAGCGAGGCTTGATTGATTAGGACAAGGAGAGAAATAAGAGAAAAAGTACAGGTGAACTTGGAACAATAACTCTTGTTTGCACAACTTTGAGTAAACTAATTACCTGGCAATGAGAACATTCTGACAGCTTTTCTTGGACAGGTGGACAGAGGGCACCTGTTATGGCTCCCCTCAAAGCCTCATGCACTCAAAGATGGGGTTTTGGAGAAGTAGCTGGATCGTGGGTGTGTGATAATCGGATTGTGGTTTAGCATAGTTCTGGGTGTGGATAATGGGAAGACCCGCCTTGGGTATGGGTGAGACCAACTGATAGGCTTGTAGTTTGAATGGAGTCAAAGGAAAGGAAAGTCTGTTGCTTTCTGCCTCCTACCTGCCCTTCCATAGACTATTTCTCCTCTGCCATGCCACTCAACTTGGGGCCAGTCAACTTTGGACTGAAAACTCTACCAACTAAGAGATAAAATAAACTTTTCCTCCTTTAACTTGTGGGTGCCAAGTATTTTCCCCCCAGCAATGATGAAGTAACTAAGACAGTACTGTACCAAAGAAAACAAGTTGGGTCTTTATGGAGTTTTTCTTTGATGACACATGACAGGTTGTGGCCTCTAGTTAATGTGCCCCTCATGCCTCTAAGCACACCCCCACTACTAGTTAGGCCAGGTCTGGTCTCTTTCTCTCACCAGGTTTCTCACTGCGCACAGAGTTGCCAGGAAACCTAATGGGCTTCCTGATAAGGAGTTGTGTTGTCAGAGATCCTCAAGCCTGATGGCAAATTCCTTAGGCTCTTCTCGCCACCCCCACCACACACGCACTCTAACATCACACAGAGGGGAAGACAACTCCTCACTGTTGTTCCTCCCAGTAAGCAGAATGTAGGGGAATTAGGTTGGTAACTTGCTCTTAGAGAAGTAACAGTGGGAGTTTTATTCTGGTCATCCTATCTTCCTCTGTAACCCTAGATGCTGTGTGCTTTAGTGGTCACCAAATTTAGGATTTAATGTATTTAAACCTGTTTGAACTACACCTAGACCAAAAAGAATAACATCACAAACAGATGCCAGACTTCAAGGCAGACACATGCAACTTTGGGTCCATCTCCCTACTGGGAGAGAAGAGGTGCATGGATTTTTAGCAAACGAACTGCATTTTGTATTTTCTGTCTTTCTTTTTCTTTTTTATTCCCACTCTGCAGTCTCTTAAAAATGGCATGTTGAGAAGAAGAGAATGTATGAGTGCAAATGAGTCAGTAAGCATGATCTATCCAACCACTCAGCACCCTCTGAGGACTCACTTGCTAGTGCTATTAGAGAGGTTTTCTCTTGCCTTGGAAAAATATAGGTTGGAAGCATTTTTTCACCAAACTCACTGACCATGTAGAAGAAACATGTCTAAAATTTGAGAGAAGGAGAGCAACATGCAAGAAAAGCAGAACAGGACAAGAAATAAATTGTTGGAGAGATTTAATCAGTGATAAATCTCTAGAGTCCAAGACTTTTCTTTCAGTTCTATGAACCATTTTTACATGCTTCCCATTGGTGTTTGTGTTAATTATTTTCTTTGGGTTCGAGTACTTTGAACTGTGTTTTCAGCATTTATAACCAAAATACTTAGATAATGCAATGTTTTTTTCTGTTGTAGTGGACTGTTGACTTATGAACTCAATTCGTTGAAGAGGGCTGGTTGTATCTCAAGTTGATTTATTGAAGGCTACAGTTCCTCTACATAGCCTTTAAAGTCTCTCTCCTGGACACAGGCGGATCTCAGTGTCCTTAGAGAAACATTGGCCCAGGATTTCTCAATTAACTCCACAGAGGAAAAGATGTTGTAATCTTCCTTCCAGAACTCTTCAAGGGTTAAATCTACACCTGAGACCATCTGGAAGTACAATCTGGTAGCATTCCAGTCATAATTCGATACTTTGTAAATTAAACTAAAATTCCAGGTGTAACTCAAGTTTTTCGTATGTCAGGCCACTTTTAACTCCAGGATCCACTGTACTTCATAAAAACAATAATTGTGGTTGTATTAATTTAGATTTAATTATCATAGCAATTTACCTGCTATTAGTTTTTTTCATAATTTCCATAGTTTTTTAAAGCATTGGCATTAAAATATGTACAATATGTTCCATCCCTTTTTGTTGTCATTGTTATTGGAGACTGAACCCAAGACCTTTACACTGAGCCCTTTTTTATTTTTATTTTGAGATAGGGTCTTTCTAAGCTGCTCAGTTTCCCAGGCTGGGCTGAATTTACAGTGCTCCCCTCTCAGCCTCTGAGAGTGCTGGGATTACAGGCTTGTGCTACCATGTCAGGCTAACATGTTTCATCTTAATAAAGAAATACTTCTGAGATCCCATATTACCCTCCAGCTATTGTTCCATTTTGTACTGATCTTTTTTAAAGCAAAGTTCAAGTTATCTATATTGTCTATATTTCACTTTCACTCTTTCTTCAGTTTATTAGTTAGTCTTCCCCCATCACTATCCCACCAGTGATCCTCATCTTAACATACTCAGTCCTCAGTAGTTCACCTACTTGGCCTCAAAGACAAGACATATCCTGTTGTCCTCTTACTTCATAGGTGCTGGCTACTTCTCAATAGCCATTGTTGACCTCTCCTCTTCTCCTTCCTAACTTTTGAACATAAGAATACCCCAGGACTGTCCTGGGCCTTCTTCTTTTTCTCTGGATCTGTTCACATATCCTAGCAATCGCTTCTTTGTATCCCATCTGCGCTCTGATGAGTCCCTCAATGTGTTCCTAACACTGACCCCTCTCTTGTATTCCAAATTCACATCCTCATGAGTTGTCTAATACTCCCTAAAATTCAGAATGTCCAAAACTGAATCCATGTTTTCTACACTTAAATTTCTCCCATGTCGGTAAATGACATCATTTGTACAGGCTCAAAACTTCAGAATCGTCCCTAGTAGAATGGTGAATGCAAATGTTCTTGTGGTTTCAGAAATGCTAACTAGAGTCAGTTCTGAAGCCACAAATGAAATTGGTTCTGAGGGAAAACAATGTATTACACAACCTGCATTCTAAAAAGGCCAGATACCTTCTCAGGCTTCTTTATAGACTTATTTATAAGCCCTATTTTCCCCCTCCCAAACATGATTCCAACAAATCCTTTTGCCCTTTCCAATCTGTCCCATAAGGAAACTGTCAGAATTGTAGGAAATCAGGCAATTAATCAGCAGCCTCAGACAAGACCTCATATTAAAATTGAAAACGAGTGCTCTGTATTAATTAATTTCCCACTGATGGGACAAAATATACAACATGCACAATTTAAAGAAGGAGAGGTTTATTTTGGCTCATGTTTCCCAGGTTTCAGTGCATGGTTGGTGGGATGCAAGGCAAAAATGGTATGGCAGAGGGGCATGGTGGAGGAAAGCAGCTCACATCATGGCGGGCAGGAAACAGAGAGAGAGACAGGAAGAGCTGGAGTCAAGAATACACCCTTCCAGGTCTCACCTCCAGTGTGCCACTCTTCTGACCAGGCTCCATTTTCTAAAAACACATTCAGCTACCAAACTCATCAATGAATGAATCCACTGATGAATACAGTGCCCCTGTGATTCAAACATCTTCCCAAAGGTCTACCACTGAACACATGAGACCTTCTGGGGTCATTTTAGAGCTAAACCAAAACATGTCCTTCCTCCTGGACAAGTAAGGAGCTAGAAAGTATTGGGTACCTGTAAGAGGAGATATGGATGCTTATCTGCTATCAGCCTCTGCTTAGGCAGAAGACAGCAAAGGGAAAACAGAAAATGAAGTGAGATAGCAGAATGAACAGAGAAAACAACACATTTTTGACATATTCAGAGACTGCCATCAGACAAAGAACAAACAAACTCTTGGGCCTTTAATCTGTTACTCATTGAAAGCATGAGCTGTATTTTTTCCTAAAGCAATCAGGACTTAAAAGTGGGTTTTGCTTAAAAACTGTGCCATTTGGACCCACAAGTGCCCAATAGATAACTGAAAGCAGAAGAAACCTTGACCTTCATTTTATGAAACTCTGGGTCAGATCTGTCTCAGCTCTGCATATAAGCATGTCAATCACTCAGGAAGTATCTCTCTAAAGACTAGTAAAACAAGGTTCCTTAGTTTTACATTTACCTAGCCTATTTTATTGCCCTTCAAGCTGAATACACCAGTAAAAGAGACTGATGGAGACATTCAGCTACACCCAGAATCTCCATTGCCCTAAACCTACAATTGCCTTGGATTCCAGCAAAGCATCACATGACTAAGATCACCCTTCAAGCCATGAGGATTTCTCTCATAGGATTCAAACTGCCCTCAAGTCCTGACAAATTGAACAAAATTACCCCTCAAGTCAAGAGGATTCAACCTGAACTATAAACCCAGAACAAGATCTAGACCCCCTCCTCTAATTCTGAAAAACTAGCCTTCTGCTTTTGTGGGTGGGCCAGCCTAATGCCCTTGCTCAAAGTGTGCTCCCTCCAGCTCCTCAAGCTAGAACTCTTTCTTATTTTTTCTTACCCTCCTTTCTTAAAAGCCAGTCAGATCTTTGTTAGTTCCTCAAACTACCATTATCCCATACTTTCCAATTAAAGCTTTTTCCTGTAAATCCATGTTTTAGTTTTAATTTCCATAATTATTAGAATCAAGGACCCATACTAGTGTCACCATGGTGTCAATGGGAAAAAAAACACACAACAGAATAGGAGACTCATTAGGTCTTCTAGTTAGATAAGATTGCAATTAGTGACCAGGAAAAGAAAAATTGCTTCAAAATTGTAAGGGAACACGAGAAATTAATCCAGCAGCTGCTAGATGATGCAAAGAAGAATAACATAAGACTGATAGGAGTCAAAGAAGAAACAGGGGAGTGCAGATGACATAAAAAACTGTTCACAGAAGTGATGGCAGGAAACTTCCCAAGCAGGGGGAAAGAACTTGACATACAGATAAGTGAGGCATATAGGACTCCAAATAGCCTGATCAAAAAAAATCTACACATAGGCATATAATAGTTAAGATTCCAGAAACCCAACAGAAGAACAAAGTTCTACAAGCAGTTAGAGAAAAGAAATGAATCACATACAAAGGAAAGCCCATCAGAATCACAGCAGACTTCTCA